AGACACAAAATACATAAAGGTATGTTAAATTCAGACTTTTCAGGCTGCAAATTTTTGTTGAAGAGTCTTGTAGAACGACTCGACCCGTGAAATCAAAAGAAAAAAACAATGGCAATCTACCGCGAACTAACGTACCTGCTATGGTCGTGTATCTTTTGCAGCGGGCGTGGTTTAAACTGAAGTGGTATCACACTTACGAACCGGATACTGCAGGTACTGGGTTGACTCCGCGGGCGCGCACGAGGAAGTTCAACACAGAGAGCCTAGGTTTCGATGCAGATATGCGCAGCTACGACATGCGACGCTAATGTGAAATCCATCTATAGGGCCCATATGCGGATGAGTTTTGTGTGTTAATAAGCGTCACTCACCACTATCACAACCTTGCAGGGGACTGAAATTTACTTCCTAGTTACGTATAAAACTGAAGTCTAAAAAAATTCGTAAATACTTTCTAGGAAGCTTAATTATGCAAGTACATTGATATCACAATAAGTGAGTGAAATCCAACGTCAACCAAGCTTTTCTCTCCGTGCTGGTCGGGAAAAACTTACTAAAAAACATTGGTTGGCAGAGCCTACGTCAATGAAGCTGTGAAACATCCCAAAGAAAGAAAGAAGAAAGGATTAGGAGTGACCCTGTTGATGCTGATGGGAAACTCTCATTTTCCTTCCCTTTTATAAACTCTTATTCCCAGCGGCAACTCTCTTGGAATTCTGAAACCTCATTGAAAGTAGTTAAAGGAACCAGGAAATAAAAATATCTTTATAAATTTTACTAAAAATCCTAAAATTGCATCTTTGGGTTTCAATTAACTGTCTTTTAAATTTTTGCTTTGCAATTGTAACCCGTATTTTGATGCTTTTGATGCTTAATGCTAATGCATATTTGCATATTCATTAGCAGAAATATGATGTCATCCAAGGCACTTAATCTCAAAGTTGCACTGGTTTGTGCACAGAAAATTTCTAGATTTTTTTAACCACTGCTATGGCAGATTTCATTTACTTTGGCAATTTATTGCTGTGTAAGTATATGGCAATAATCCAGCAAAAATCCTTTTCACAGAAATATTCCCAGATAGCAAATTTGGGGTTCACAATTTCAACATGGAAACATGTAACATGAACCATGTCTTCCTGGATTTACATCAAGCAAAAGCGCCCTCACCTGTCCAGAAATGCTTGGTAAATTTTCAATGTCTGAAAAATCGCACCGTTCAATTCACGTAACGCAAAAAAGATGTCAAAAAGTCTTCATACGTGGAAGAAGAGTACAGAGATAAACACAAAATTATTCGTAAAAAATTCATTTCCTGGATCCCTTAAAATCAATAGATTACTCTGAACTATGTTTGCACAGACCGGTTCTCCCTGGATATATTTTTAAGCCACAGTCTATGAAAAAAGGAGATTCGAGGTGGCGGCCAAAGTACTCCACTCGTCTTGACTTAACACGCAGAGGCGACATAATTACGCCTTTTATAAATAAACACTAGTTGTGAGATACGAAATGCTAGATGGCAGATATAGAACACCATACATTTGGGGTTGTTGGGTTGGTATCAGCAATTTGCCTTTGAACAATTGACACATGAACCTGCTCAATGGAATTAGCTAGACTCGAGAATTTAGCTGTTGTGTTTAGACCTTCAACTTAGCGAGCGCACTGTCACTATGGTGGATTGGCAAGGTAAGACTTCCTTCGATTTATTGATCGATTGTATCAAATCATAAGTGCATGAAACAACGCTGAGTACAATATGAAGGTATGACATTTTGCACTTGTACATATTTCTGTACGTGTACTTCTGGTCTGTGCACAAGGTTTTCAAACTGAAAATGGAGCGGAGTTTCTTTAGTTAAGTAGTATTTCACTGCTGCATGGCTTTTGTTTTTTGTAGGGATGGGTACATACAATTTGACATTTCCATATCTTATCACTTTAAACGAAGGTAGACGTTCTGGGTCTAACGTTGATCCGACCAACATTTTAAGGGTACTTTAACTCCTGAAGGGGTCAAAACGACACCGTCACACTCACCAACGGTTTAAACTCCCCTTCATTTCTCGGCTTTGTGGGGACAGATTTTTACAGTAATAGGGAAACCCATGCTGTTAAAACTTGAAAAGTTCGACCTGAATCGGGCAAACTATTTATGTTCATGCAGTGTAAACTTGAAAAGGTAGAAACTCTGACGCGTATGGCTCTTCCAAATTGTGCAAATATGGTAACAAAATGTGTGCGTTATAAAACTCAAGGTGAATCGGTAAGACAGAAAATTTGTGGCGTATAAAGAAGGATAGGTTTGAACCCCCCGGCTTTTGATTTGTTTACTTCATGAAAAATGAAGATACACTATAAACGTACACCTGTAACTATTAGCTTTGATATAGCTGTACAATGCACGTCTCTTGAATATTCTTAGGGAACATTTGCTAAGGCATCTGTTAAGTCACAGTTTTAGCTCTCGAGGCAATCAAGAGACAGGTTATGAATGTTTGCCGACCGAGAAGACGGAAGCTACAGCAATAAAAGGCTTTACGTGAGGCCTAGTTGGACGTGTGTATGACGTGTCATTTGGGCTGAACTGATATTACTACGATTTGTAATGTATTTTTTTACAGTATCTCTCTGCGGTAACGGTAAACTGTAACACTAAGGTACAAGAATTGCTTGTGTTTATAGCCTATATGGGAAATGTCATTAACGAAACCGTTCTCTCTCGACATTAACTTCCGTTTTTGCCAGAGAATAAACTGCTATTTATGATCAAACATTTGTCGCTGTGTACGTCAGTGGTAGTTCCTAAATTATGCCTAAGAAATTCCTTGTTTACGCTGATACATCTGCATAGCCCATACTGCGGACAAAACTCAGTGGCGGATCCAGGCTTGAACAGAGGTTATTAATATACTAGCAGGGCGTGTTGTGGTAAAAATGCACGAAGAGTGATTCTAAGAAACATTGCATTTTTCTTTTTAGCTGTTGACAACCGAAGTACAGGGCTTATTAGGGTAGGTGCTGTTTTAATAAAGAGCTTCAAAATGCACCCTTGTGCCTAATTTAACCTTATTTTCAACTTTTGTTCCACTATTTCAAAGGGTATTCATTTGCCTCTTTGGCTTTTATGTTAAATGAGTATTCCCATATTCATGGGCAAAACTACGACCATCCCAAGAACAAAGATTCAATATTACATTGGTGTGTACACAAAAACGTCCTGCTTTTTTGTAAATTTTTCTGGACTAAATTTTCTCTTCTCTCCCACGGTGTTGTTTATGTGCATAATAGTAAGCAAGCATCAACCCCTTTCCCAGAAATGTTACCAGTAAGTAAATTTTAGGTTCACAATTTGAATAGAAAACATATGCGGTGAACTATGTCTTCCCTGAATAACATCACAGCAACAGCGCTCTCGGTTGTTAAGGAAAACATTTGTAACTTTTAGTGTTTAAAACGTGCACTTTTCAATACGTGCGATTCACAATAGCGCGCCTCCAATAGTTTGCAACGCGTTGGCTAATCACAACGTGAGAAATCTGTCGACCCAATGTGCGTTTGGAAATGGTCGACAATAGTGCGCCTCCAAGAGTTTGCAACGCGTTGGCCAATCACAACGTGCGAAATCTGTCGACCCAATGCACGTTTGGAAACGGTCGACAAATTTCGCGCGTTGTGACTGGCCAACGCGTTGCAAACTCTTGGAGGCGCACTATTGTGAATCCGCCCGTATTCATTTAACCAAATGGGAAGTAAAAGAGTTTTCATGTACTGAAGAATAATACAAAGTTGCAGAAAATTGTATCGAAGAAAAGTTCATTTCACTACACTTCAAGTAAGAGGCATGTCCCTAATAAATGTTTCTCAGTCACCAGGTCGGTCGGTCAGCCAGTCGGTCGGTAAGCGACTCCATCAAAGAATGAAAAACACAGTCCCATTCTCATTATTTGGCTTTCAGTTGGAGAGGTTATTGTGTATAGCCTAATAGAAAAATCGATTTGTCTTAATGGTGCGCAACACTTCATTGCTTGAGAGAATGATCTGCTGATATTTTACCAATGGGTTTAGTTACAAGAAATGAGGAAGATATTCTGGTGTTTTTTCAAGTCAGCGCATAACTGCCTTGTGATTTTTTTAAGGGCTGGGGACTAAAGTTGACCAATAAAAGATTTCACACTGTTGAGATTTTTCAGTGGCTCGAAAAAGCAAGATTGGCGTGCATATATTGTTTCCGTTATGAAGTTATTGGGACCGAATAACTAAGGAAGCGTAGTTCCGGACCAAGACGTCTTTTGAAACAAAATATTTAAATAGATACTATTATGTACTAATATTTATGTTTAATTTTATTCTATGTAATACTTCACTAGAATGAAGGTGATTTTCAAGAGGTTAGTGGCATTCTGTGTGAATAATGTCATCATCGGGTAAAAAAAATCATAATTCACATCATCCATAAATTTCATGTGATTTGTCTTTACAAACCCAGGGACTTGTTAGAACAGGCTCTGCTTACAAATTGTTCGAATACAGCTTGTACCATTAATTATCCACATTCTCTGTGTATTTAACATTTTGTACATATTTTAGAAATATTCTATGGCAAGACGACTTCTGCCCATTACAGGTGGTTAAAGGAACAGTAAATGAAAGCACAGCATGTGCGGAGTGTTGATGCATAGTACTCAAATCCCACAGGTGTGTGTGTTTTCGCGGAAAGGACTCCTGCATTTCCTGAAACCTCATGCGTACGGTTTGCATGTCCCAAGTTTTCATTTTTTATCGAAAAAGAAAAGAAAAGACAAACACTAATTACAGTACAGATATTGATATAGCTGTGACGATACTGAGAGCAATTTAATTAATAAGAAAGTGAAACGTCAAGGAGGCTGCTATGTTTTTCTAGTTTTCATTTTTTTTAACATAAGATAATTCTGTAACCTCTCAAAATATGACTATTTAGTATTGTATGTTACTGTTCTTAAAATTTCACGAAGGGTTTCAGAAGATGGTGCTATCATTGCCACGTATAGAGCCTGCAGTTGGCGAATGTTTGGAGTACTACCATCGGGGAGTCTGTGTGCCTAAAGGGGTGCCAAGGCAGGTCTTTGAGGAGCTGGAATCATTTCAAGTTCGACAGGACGACATTTACCTGATTACCTACCCCAAGGCTGGTAAATCATTTACATTGCCGTTACATCTAATCTAGAGAGGTGAACGAAAGGAAAAAAAAAAGTCTGAGAATTTTTCTTAACTATGGAGAATGCAATGCAGGGGATGACCCAAAGCTATACTTGACTCCACAGACGCTGTTTATTATTAACTAATTTTTAATCGCTTCAATGATAGTTTCCTCAAAACTAAAAGTGACAATGTATTGATAGTGACTGAGTAATCTTTCTTTCCCCTTTTGCTCTTTTTTAATTAATTAATTAAAATCACTTGACGGCGGGATATTTTTACCGCGTCCTACCTGGCTGCCGGTTTTTCCCCCCAATTTTGCCAACGGCAACCGCAGACATGTAGTAAGGTGACCAGGCCTTATCTGCCAAGTTTGCTGGGTCGCACACTGCACAAAGCCCGGCTCTATGTGACCGCGATTCATGCTGGGGTATTGGATCCCATCTAACATAGTAACCAGGCACCCAGCACTTGCCTTACCCACACGACAACACTACCCAATGACGCTCGGCCATAGCAAAGCGTGCAGCGCCCGCTAAGTTCACAAGGTCTAGGCTTGCCACAGGCGGGCACCGTGGCTCGTGTTCCCGCACCCCAGTAGTCCTGCATGCCAAGCACCAATTCCCAGCCCCCACTTGTACATGTACATAGAGGGCGCTTCACAAGTTTTTATTTCATTTAATACCAGTCAATATTACCCGTAAAATTTGCCCATTTTTCATCTTGTGCTATGTACGCACATAACTTTCTTGCATATTTCTAAGTTTTGTTTTTTGCAAGTTTGTATTCAAACCCCCTTTTTGAATGTAATGATATATCTAACACAGCCCCCTTCTAACTGAATCTTTCCCATTATTATAAAATAAATAGATAAGAAAAACACAAGATTTAAGTGTGATAACTCTTGAAACAGTTCTTGCACTTGAACACCCGCTGTGCCTTGAAAGTCGCGTCGGCGGGGGAAGTTGCCATCAGCCGTCCACTAAATGGACGAAGTCTTGGCAGGCCTCGATCGCTCCCCAGCGTGGGTGCTGGGGTGCTGTGCACCTGTTCTGGGCCCAGCGGGGCCGTAAACAATGCCGCGCACACCATGTCAATGGCCTGTATTCATCGCGCTTTGGGCCCACACAAAGTGCGTTGCATAAGCCCTGACAGTGGAGTCAGCAACACTGCACTGAGATTATCCACGGTATTCAGTCAAAGACAAAGGGGGTGTTCTGATGATTAAAATCCAATTTACTGCCAGAGTATCGTGGGGTCGACCAACTCTCCTAGTTGCCCCAGATTTCCAGTCAATGCAAAGCTCCCAGTATCTACAAGCGTACACTAAATAAAAGTTGCAGGTGTGGTATGCGGCTACCGCAAACATCCGGAAATTAGACTTTATTCCAGGCGCGGCGTCTGCAGTCATCTGTCGCGAAGGGGTTTTAAAAGGGGTATGGAATTCCATATCTGCCGTCGTGCGTCGCCCGTTGTGCGTCGTCCGTCGTGCGTCGCCCGTCGTGCGTCGCCCGTCGTGCGTCGCCCGTCGTGCGTCGCCCTTGGTTTTTTTGTCACGATTGCGCAGTGGTATTTTTAACTTTGACCCTTGATCGTTTAACATGTACATGTCCTTGTTCGATCGATCCACCATGCCTGACTCTCATTTTAGCAATAGAACTAGAAGATGTCCATGTATTCGTTTTTGCAGTTGCGCCAAACTCCAATTGAAAGAAGAAATGATATCCTGATATCGGCTAAGTAACGTGTATATGAAACAGTACCATTTTGGTTACATAAATAAATCAACAAAATAGATTGTTTTTCTCGATAACTTAGTTACTCTAGACGTAACTTTACTCGTTAACAGCCAAACTTTAGGTCTATAGCCTATGTGATATTTCTGTCTGTCCCGG